CTGTGGGGACTTCACAGAGCAGAACACTGCAGGCTGCAGGAAGGAAGCAACGATGGCCTTCACAGCAGCAGCGGCCGTCAAGGCCTGTGGAGCAGAGGAGTCACGGGTGCGGTGCCTCACACCGGGAATCCTAGCACTTCGGGAGGCTGAGGTGGGTGGTTCACTTGAAGCCAGGAGTTCAAGACCAGCCTGAGCAACAAAATGAGACCTACAAAAATATACAGAAAAAAATTAGCTGGGCGCGGTGGCATGCGTCTGTGGTCCCAGCTACTCAGGAGGCCAAGGTGGGAGAATTACTAGGAGCACAGGAGGTCAAGGGCTAAATCCTGAGTTGTGATTTAGCTACTGCACAGGGGAGACCCTGTCTCAAAGAAAAAAGCCAGACTGAAAAGAGGGCACGACCTATACTTTTATTTATATAACATTCAAAAGCAGCAAACCTAGTTGGCCAGCGGCTGCCCTTGGAGGGAGAGCCCAGAGGGGCCAACAGAGGAGAGACGGCTGTGGGCATCTGCATAGGTGCTCAGCGCACTTCCCTGAGGGCCTTCTGGTGCCTAAGCACTTCCGTGTGCAGGTTACACTTGGGCCAAGATGACCCCACCAGACACCAGCTGGTGTCCCACAGTCCACCCAGATTCTTCCTGTCCTGTGCAGCTCTGCTCATTGTCTTCCAAGCCAGCAGGCGAGCCAGCAGGTCTCCAGGTGCCTCCCCGTCCAGGGTTGCTGTCTCCTTGACCCTTGGTCCCCTCTCTGTGGGCTTCTCACCCAAGTGCTTTCTCAAACCCTGGGCTCAAGCAGTGGTCCCGCCTCAGCCTACGGAGTAACTGAGACCACAGGCTTCCGCCGTGCACTTGGCTTCCTGGCCTCCTGTCTCAGCCTCGCTTCCTGCCCCTAAAATCTGTGGTCCACTCCAGTGTTCTTCCCTTCTTTTTTTGAGAGAGAGTCTCCTCTGTCGCCCAGGCTGGAGTGCAGTAGTGCGATCTCAGCTCACTGCAACCTTTGCCTGCTGGGTTCAAGAGATTCTCCTGCCTCAGCCTCCCACATAGCTGGGACTACAGGCATGTGTCATCACACCCGGCTAATTTTGTTTTGTATTTTTAGTTGAGATGGGGTTTCACTGGGTTAGGCAGATTGGTCTTGACCTCCTGACCTCATGATCTGCCCACCTCGGCCTCCTAAAATGTTGAGATTAGAGGTGTGAGTCATCGTGCCCAGCCTTTTTTTTTTTTTTTTTTTTTTTTTTTTTTTTTTAAATTTTTATTTTGAGATGAACTCTCGGCCTGTCACCCAGGCTGGAGTGCAGTGGTGCAATCTTGGCTCACTGCAACCTCCGGCCCCCCAGGTTTAAGCGATTCTCCCACCTCAGCCTGTAAGTAGCTGGGATTACAGGCACCCACCACCACACCTGGCTGCTTTTTGTATTTTTAGTAGAGTTGGGTTTCACCATGTTGGTCAGGCTGGTCTTGAACCCCTGACCTCAAGTGATGCACCTGCATCCCAAAGTCCTGGAATTACAGGCATGAGCCACCACACCCAGCCACTCCAGTGTTCTTTCTTAAAGTACAAATCTGACCGTATCAATCCTCTGTTTAAGGATCCAAAGGGCGTGGCAGGGCACCGTGGCTCACGCCTGTAATCCCAGCACTTTGGGAGGCTGGGGCAGGAGGGTCACTTGAGCCTGGGAATTCAAGACCAGTTTGGGCAACGTAGTGAAACCTCATCTCTACTAAAAATAAAAAAAATGAGCCAGGTACGGTAGCGTGTGCTTGTAGTCCCAGCTACTCAGGGGGCCTAGGCAGGAGGCTCACTGGAAGCTCTGCAGTGAGCTGTGATTGCCCCACTATACTCCAGCCTTGGCAACGGGAATGAGACCCTGTCTCAAAAAAAAAAAGAATCCAAGGGGCTCCCTGACTTCCCTTCACCTTTAGCCTGCAGTGAGGCTTTGCCTGCAGGCGTATCCTGCCCCACAGGAGAAAGGCCCCGGGAGCCCCCGGCGCTCTGCTCTCAGCCTGTGCAAGCCACCCCCACGCCCAGCTCTTGGCTCTCGGCATTTCCAGGCTCAGCTCAAGAGTCACCTCCCCAGAGCTGGCTTCCCCCAAAAGAGGCGTTCCCCTGGGCTCGAACTGCTTTGGCTGGTGTCCCTGTTTGTCCACGTCGTGAGTGAGCGATAGGAATTCAAGGCTGTGCACCCCAGACGCCAGTCCTGAGATATGGGCACCATCAGGCCTCTGTGCTGGGCACCTGTGCTGTGCTGAGGCTGAGGCGTGGGGTCTTGAAGGTGAGATAACAGGGAGGGTGCCCATGAGCCCTCCTGAGGCTGAGTGTATTTTTTTTTTTTTTTTTTTGAGATGGAGTCTTGCTGTGTTGCCGAGGCTGGAGTGCAGTGGCGCAGTCTTGGTTCACTGCAACTTCCACTTCCCGGGTTCAAGCGATTCTCCTGCCTCAGCCTCCAAGTAGCCGAGACTACAGGCGTCTCTTCCAACGCCTGGCTGGTTTTTGTATTTTTAGTTGAGATGGGGTTTCACCATGTTGGCCAGGCTGGTCTCAAACTCCTGACCTCAGGTGATCTGCCCACCTCCACCTCCCAAAGTGCTGCGATTACAGGTGTGAGCCATCTTGCCCGGCCCTTGAGTGTGTTTTTAAGCAAACTTCTGGAAGTTTAGAAGTGCACACATTATACAGTTGGCTGTTATGAGGTGCACAGCCGGGAGACCCACCCAGACCTCTCCCAGCTTGTCCACATAGTCTTCCCTGAGGCAGCCGCTCTCACAAGTTCTGGAAACTGGAGACTAGCTCCCTGTTTCAGACAACCCTCATGCAAGTATGGGAACACTGTGTCTGCAGGATTAATTTCTAGAAATGGAGGTGTGGATCAGAAGGGCGTGTTTCTAGGCTGCAGGTGGGCTTTCATCGAGGACGGCATTGGAGTCCTTCCCACACTGGGACCACCACGCTGAGACCCTCCCCTCGGCGTGGTGGCGCAGGTTCCTTCCCGTGGGCTGTCTGTCTGGGGAAAAGTGGCATTTCGTGCTGTTTCTGTTCGCATTCCTTGTGAGTGTCTTTCTAGGGCTTCTCCAGAGCCTCTGCTTGTGGCCTTTCCGTTGCCCTGTTGTGCTGTGACATTGGTCTGTAGGACCTCTTTGTCATATCAGGAAATTAGCAGTTTGTTCTTATGTTTTAAGCATTTTACCACCAAGTTTTTTTTTTCTTTTCTTAAAAAATAGTGGCTGGGCTTGGTGGCTTATGCCTGTAATCCCAGCACTTTGGGGGGCTGAGGTGGGTGAATCATGAGGTCAGGAGTTTGAGGCCAGCCTGGCCAACATGGTGAAACCCCGTCTCTACAAAAAAAAAAAATTGTTAGTGGTGTTAGTTTTTCCTAGCACTGAAAGTGTTTGTTTTTATTTTTAAAGACAAAGTTGTCTTTTTTTATTTCTTGGTTTTGTGTTGTATGAGAAAACCCTTTGTCACTTAGAAACTAGTAAAAAACTCTTTTTTTCCTTCTAATACTTTGATGGTTTCATCTTTTATCTTTACATTTTTATTTGTCTACAATTTATTTTGTTATGTGGTTTTTCTTCTAAAACTTTATATTTTCTGATAGTTTCTGTAGCCATGTGAAGTGATTATCATGGAAATTAAATACTTTATTAAAGACAGAAGTGGAAGTGCAGAATCTCTACTGGATCACTCGCTGCCTCCACAAATCCTTCTGGTTTCACCTCTGTTTTCTATTTTTTATTTTTTGAGACAGAGTCTCTCGCTGTGTCACTTAGGCTGGAGTGCAGTGGTGCGATCTCAGCTCACTGCAGCCTCTGCTTCCTGGGTTCAAGCGATTCTCCTTTCGCGGCCTCCTGAGTAGCAGGGATTACAGGTGTGTACTACCATGCCTGGCTTATTTTTGTATTTTGCGTAGAGACTAGGTTTCACCATGTTGGCCAGGCTGGTCTCGAACTCCGGACCTCAAATGATTCGCCCATTTTGGCCTCCCAAAGTGCTGGAATTACAGGCGTGAACCACCGCGCCTGGGCTCACCTGCTGGTTTTACCTGCTAGGTGCCATTCTGGGTGCTCCCCACTGTAAACCAAACAGAAAATGTATGTTCCTGAGGCCAGCTTGGCACCCATGAGTGCTCAGTCCTCGGACCTACGCAGCCTCTGCCATTTCTTTTCTTTTTTTTCTTTTTTAATTTTGACAGAGTCTTGCTCTGTTGCCCAGACTGGAGTGCAGTGGTGCAATCCCTACTCACTGCAGCCTCTGCCTTGCAGGTTCAAGTGATTCTCCTGCCTCAGCCTCCTGAGTAGGTGGGATTACAGGCTCGAGCCACCACCCAGCTAATTTTTGTATTTTTAGTAGAGATGTGGTTTTACCATGTTGGTCAGGCTGGTCTCAAACTTCTAACCTCAGGTGATCCTCCCACCTCGGCCTTCCAAAGTGATGGGATTACGGGCGTGAGCCACCGCACTGGCCTTTTCTTTTGAGATGGAGTCTCACTCCATCACCCAGGCTGGAGTGCAGTGGTGTAATCTTGGCTCACTGCAACCTCCGCCTCCCAGGTTCAAGCGATTCTCCCATCCCAGCTTCAACAGGCATGTACCACCATGTCCAGCTAAGTGTTNAGACAGAGTCTCTCGCTGTGTCACTTAGGCTGGAGTGCAGTGGTGCGATCTCAGCTCACTGCAGCCTCTGCTTCCTGGGTTCAAGCGATTCTCCTGCTTCAGCCTCCCGAGAGGCATTACAGGTGTGTGCGCCCACACCTGGCTAATTTTTATATTTTTAGTAGAGATGGGGTTTCACCATGTCAGCTGGGCTGGTCTTGAACTTCTGATCTCAAGTGATCCACCCATCTCAGCCTCCCAAAGTGCTGGTATTACAGGTGTGAGCCACCTTGAATGAAATGAGAAAAGTATAACAGGTCAGCCAAGCGCTGTCAAGAAGAAAGTGCCCTGCAGGTTATGCCTCCGGGATCTTGAGGTTCTTCTCTCTTTCCTTCACTTCACCAGGGCTGACCTGACAGAAGATAACATGGAGACAGAAAATGCAGCGGCGGCAGCTGCTGCTGCCTTTACAGCCTCCTCCCAGCTCAAGGAAGCCGTGTTAGGTAGGAAGCTGCCCTGGGTGGGAAGCCTGCCTTCTTGCCACAGCCGGGACAGGATAGCCCTGCACTCAAAATGGGAAATGGCCAGAGATGTACAAGGTCTTCGTTCGGCTGATTCCCAAGCCGTGTGCCCTTAGGACTAAGGGCCAGGCCCCAGGGCCCCCCAGGGGTGGGGCCTGCCATGTGTCTGTAGTGATAGCCCTTTCTCTGCCCATGGCTAATAGGAGAGCAAAGTCACTTAGGCCCAAGTTTGCATATCTCTCCTCTTTTGGATTTTGTTTTCTTCTGTTTCAGTACCATTGTTTTCCTGTATCTGTTTGTTACAACTATCAGTGAATGGTAGTAAAAAAAAATCTTTTTTTGAGACAGGGTCTTGCTGTGTTGCCCAGGCCAGAGTGCAGCGGCCCAATCACTGGTCACTGCAGCTTTGACCTCCTAGGCTCAGATGATCCTTCTGCCGCAGCCTCTTGAGTAGCTGGGACTACAGGCATCTGCCACCATGCCCAGCTAAATAAAAAACACTTTTTTTTAAAAGAAATAGGGTCTCACTGTTGCCCAGGCTAGTTTCGAACTCCTGGCCTCACATGATCCTCTAGCCTCAGCCTCCCAAAGTATTGGGATTACAGGTGTGAGCCACTAAGCCTGGCCAGTAAAAATTGTTTTTTTTTTTTTTTTTTT